AAGTACCACATGACTGTAAATGTAATACACCTGTGATAGTCATTGCCTTAATCTATGAGAAGAGTTTATAATCTGGTATTTAGCATAACAATGACGGGGTGAGCGTGATTTTAACACCGCTGCTGTTTAACATCTGACACTGATGTCCTCACGACCTTCTGCAGGATACAGCACGGAGCACTCCTGTTCCTCCAGCCTGTCGGACCTCACGCATCGCAGGAATACCTCGACAGGAAGCAGCACCTCCGGGGGCTTGTGCTTCACGGTTGACACCCCCCCAGATGGGGACAAGGACGCTGGACGTCCGGAGAGACCCCCTCGACCCCCACGACCAGTTTTACCCCCAAATAGGCCTCCGAGGTACACAGAGTACGCTTGGTCGTGTGATTGGGAGCCTAGTTCTGTTCAAACTACATAATCTTCATTCTCCACTGTGTTTCAGGAGGAAGCAGGACTCGGTGGAGAGTCACCCCTCCTGGGTGAACGACACTCGCATGGATGCCGACGACATCGTGGAGAAAATCGTCCAAAGCCAGAACTTTGCAGACATCAGCCACACCGAAGGTACAAAAAAGTACCTGAAACGGCTCATAAAGATTTTTTATTATACAATCTCACTTGAAGCAGCGAAACTGGCACCAAAATAAAAGGGAAGTTTAAAAAAAATTAAGAAAAGATCAAAAACATGCTGCTTGGTACAATAATTTTTCAGAGAATATACAGTTTACTTATTTCTGGAGTGTTTTCAAAAAGTTTACTGGGTGCTGAACGCAGATTCACGCTTTACCGGCAATTTGTAGTCTGTGTAAAGCTGATGTGAATTTGTGGGAAATGATGTCATCACCAGCCGTAGCTGCAGACTAACTCTTCAGTAAGGCCTCATTTGTTTACAGTGAATCTCTTCATATGAAGGTCTCACAGTTAGTTTGACAGCAGCTTATTGATGCCTAAAAGCAGAAAAAGGCAGCTGCTGCACCATCTTTGGACCGAGCGCTCCTTCAGTTTTCCGACTCGGTGCTCCGTCGCCTTCTCTTCGCTGTGCCTTCTGGTTTCCGTCAGCTGGCCTTAACTCCGTTTCTGTGTTTCTGGACTTTCAGACAGCAACTTGCGCCTGTTCGTCAGCAGAGATGGAACCACGGCGCTCAGCGGCATCAGGCTTGGAAATGGGTGAGGAGCTCTGCTGTCTTTGTTTTTGGTTTATTTCTCACTTCCCAGAACTTGAGTTTCAGTATTGGAGTGCAGGAGCTGCATGAAGTCTAAACAGTTTCCAAAAATACTGGAAAATCTCAGCAATGTAATAATTTACATACCGTAAATCTCCCTCTGAGGACCCAACTTTGAAATATGAATTTAAAGCCCTTGTTTCACTATCTCCATGTCACTCTCCCTCTGATGCTCACTGAGAAGCTCAAATAGGTTCCTATGATTTGGTGGCTTCTTCCTTTTTCTAAGAGTTATGGCTGTAATTCATGGAGCACTCCGTCATGACACTAGAACTCATTCAGGTGATAATTTCCAGTTATAGTACACTGTGCTGTTCTGAGCTCAGTCCCTCTAGAGGATGCTCGACTCCTCATGAAGTCTGATTATGACAGTCTGCTTAGAAACATGCACGAGTCACTCACTGCAGGTCCTTCTGTAGGGCTCTGGCTCCCCCAGCTCCTCGTTGCACAAAGGAGCAGATAGCAGTTCTACTACTGGGTCGATGGCGTTGCCAGCTCTTCTTGTGTAACAGCCCCTCTCCTAGTATCGCCGTAATACTTTTGAAACTGTGCTTTGATGGAGCAAACCTTCTCTGCAGGTCCTGCATGCTTCCTGACTATGTAGATTGATTTCCCTGCAGTAGTTTTACTGTGATGATCCAGTGTTCCCTCAATTATTTTTAGGAGGGTTTTTTGCTTTTTTTCAATAAAACTGATTATTTTGAAGATAAAAGTTTTTAATAACTCACAAGAACAGAATCAGCATTAC